CTATCTCCCCACACTCTCAAAACTCTCTCTCTCTCTCTTTCTCTCTCTCACTGTCTTTTTTTCCTATTTTCTCTCAATCTCGTTTCTTTATTTCTTCTTCCTATTTTCTCTCAATCTCGTTTCTTTATTTCTTCTTCCTATTTTCTCTCAATCTCGTTTCTTTATTTCTTCTTCCTATTTTCTCTCAATCTACGTTTCCTATTTTCTCTCAATCTCCTTTCCCTATCCATCTCTATCTAAATCTTCCATAAATTTCCTCTGAAGGGATTTAATGCTATCTAAGTAAATCTCCTCTCGAGGGAATAGTTTCTATCTATTCCTCAAAATCCTTAACAACTCACACATCTCATCCTACTTAACTTAAAGCCATAAATTATTGATATGAAAAACTACCCCATGAATACCAAAGAAGAAAAAAGTATTCCATGAATATCAAAAAAAGATTACGGAAGAAGGGACCAAAGACTGTTTTGAACGTGAATACCAGCAGAGATTGCTAACAATTAACCCAAAGTGATAACTACAGAATAACTCCAAAAAGAAAGCTCTATCTCTTAATAAAAACCTCTACCTCTTTTAATAAGATAAAGGAAAATGAATAAACAACACGGAAACCTTATGACGAAAGAAAAAAGACAACAACGAACTAAAAAAAAAAAAGAAACTAAAGTCAGAATCCCAAAAGAAAATATTTATGCCCTTCTCTCTCTTTTTCTCTATCTAAAACTCACAAAAGTTCAAGGAGATGAAAATAAAATAGAAAGCATTGAGATCTAAAAATTAATAGCCATAAACAAAAACACGTAAATTCCCTGAAACACAAAAAAGTTATTGGGAACGGATCCAAGCCCTTAACAAGTTGGACTAGGGGGAGAGAGAATAAAATTGGAAGTTGAGTAGCCTTTTTGAATAGAGATAAGTACGAACCCAAAACAACCTTTTAGAAGTAGAAAAGAAACGAACGCATAAACATAAACATGCTCTTATCACAAAAGGCAATGAGTGATCATTTTTCTTTTCTTTTTTTTCTACTTACAAAATAAAATAATAATAAATGAATAAAATGAAAAGAAAGACTAAGGGAAAAAGGTAACGCAAACAAGATTTTCCTATGAAAAAGATTTTTTTTTTGTTTCTTTTGCAATATTTTTCCTTTTTTTAAAAAAAAATACCCTAAAAAGGAGATCAGGGCTGCTTTTATTTAATTTTTTATTTTTTTATTTTTCGTTCACCGATCTAGCTCGAAGGTGCCCCACGATGGTTGCCAAACTGTTTATAGTGCAAAATTAGAGAGATCTTCAGAGGAAAATCCCTCAGATCTGAACACCACAAACTGATTTTAAAAGAAGATGATAGAGAATGTGGGGAAAATCGAATTCAGATCTAAGGCCAGATCCGTCGAGAAATGAGCGGATCTATTCTCAGATCAGTGGTAGCACCAACATTGATCCGAATATGGAACACGAAATAAAAAGTAATAAAAACTAATCTAATCTAATTAAAATGAAATAAAACTAGAAAATAAATAATAAAAGAGTAAGAAATGATACCAAACGGGACCAGATGGTCAAGCCCATTGGTGCTCTCTCGTATCAGAACTGGTCCTCTTTTGTCTCTTTGAGTCGGATGTTCCCTAGAAAGTCTCTAGATGAAGAAGGGTGGTTGCACCCTAAGGGTAGATCTAGGGTGGTTGTACCCTAGGTCTAGGTTTTCTTAGATTTGGGTTTTCTTTCAGGAGGCTCGGGATCCTGAAGCAGTTTCTAGGGTTTTCTCTTCTCTCATGTAACTTTCTCTGGTTTTTTCTCTCCGAACTCTATCTATTCTCTTTTGTCTCTCAGATTTTTTATCTCTATCTGCTCTCTCCGATTTTTTATCTCTATCTGCTCTCTCCTGGAGTTTGGTCTCTCTCTTCCCCCGATCCAAATGACTACGAAAAGAGGGTTTATAGGGGTCAAAATCTGTTGGGGAGGATATACTCACAAAACCTACATATACTTATCCAAAAAAATGGGTTTACTAGGTTAAGTGTGATCCTAATGGTTCAGGAAACCACAAAATTTGCCAGATTTAAAATAGGGTGTCTACACCTACCCCGTTAAGAACTTAATTTTTCATGTTTTAACAAAGGATTGAGAACTTTTATTGAAAGATTATTGTCTGAAATTTTTTATGAAACCGTGCGTCAAAAGCAGAACTTTTGGAAAATCAGAAAGATTTCTTTCTAAAAAAAATCTTTCAGAAAAACAAATACACCTTAAGAGAGAATTATCAGAGAAGGATAACTTTTACTCTTTTCTTTTATTCTTTAAGAGAAGGCTTCTCTTCTTCTTCTCTCTAAGAGAAGGCTTTCTATATCTTGATACACCAAGAGAGGTACACCCAAAGAGTGGCACAACCAACCAAGAAACCACCCAAGCCCTTCACAGGATTGGCTTTATATAGGCAAATGAGATGAGTATCCCATAACCTCCTAAAATGTGGCTCATTCCTATCTCTTTTCAACAAAGACGAAAGATGATATCTCTACCCAAAACCATCATGTGAGATCGTATTTGCAAGAGATGATGACTTAGTCAATAAGTCATCCTTTTGATTTTCTATGAGAAGCCCCCAGAAAATGGAAACGACCACCGGTGCCCCTCCCTCATAGGACGTGACACCCAACACTAATGTCTCCAAGGCTCTTGATGCTCTGCTTCTTTAGAACTAATGCAATAAAAGTGAAATTCATAGCTCTATTGACAATACCATGAAATTCTTCAAAAAAAGCAAAGTAAATCAAGCTTAACTACCTCCAAAAGATCTCAAAAATGGCAAAAAGGACGCTGTCGGGCTTGGAGCCATGTGTCCAATTCTCATGGCATGAATGCAAAATTGAAACAACATTGGAAGCACAAGTCACGAAGCTTGAAACCTTTTTAGTTTGGACACGGTTTCTATGCGGTCAAGCCCACATACGTAGAAATGTGGGCCTATTAATAAATCTATTTTTGAGGTAGATTTTTTTACTTAATTGTTGAGGACATATAATCTCTAATATGAAGATCATGAATATGAAAAAGTAAATAAATTTTAAAGACTAGAAATAATATTAGTAAGAAAACATTTGGACCGTTACTTTCCATTGTTTATAGATGGAACACCTACTTGCATCTATCTTTAAAATAATAGTTACAATATTCTTCCAAGGAATAAGTTTTCTCTCTTTAGGTTTTCCCTTCTCTAAGGTTCTCTCATAGAGACTTTCTCTAGGTTAAGTTTAACTCTCTCCTAAGCTTTTCTCTCTTTAGTAGGCACTATGATAAACCTACATAAATACTCTGTCTCTCTTTCTTTAACAAGATTCTCTCTCTTCTTTCCTCTTCTTCTCTCTCTAAGAAGAAATGATAACTTTCTATTTTTTTCTTCTTTCTCAAAGAAGGATAAGTTTTTCTCTCTTTTTTCTTCTCTCTAAGAGAAGGTCTTTCTTCTTCTTCAGTATAAGAGAGACTTATGAGATAAGGACAACATTTTCTCTCTTCTTCTATTAAAATAATGGTTACAATAGTCTTCCAAAGAATAAGCTTTTTTAGGTTCTCTGATTTCTTCTAGAGGGTTTTCTCTTTTTAGGTTTTCCCTTCTCGAATGTTTTGTTTTTCAAAGACTTTCTCTATGTTAAGTTTATCTCTCTCCTAGGCTTTTCTCTCAAATCTTGTAACCTTTTTAGTTTTGGCTTCTAGTTCAATGGTATATATTACAATTTAATTTTGTAATGGAAAATTATTTCATGTGTAGGGTCTCGCATTTCTACATTTGCTCCCATGCATTATAAAGCATCCATCTTAAAGATGGATGCAAATGGGTGGTCCATCTAAAAACAATTGAAACTAATAGTCCAAATGTTTTATTCATAAAATTATTATTTTTAGTTATTAAAAAATTTATTTATTTATTCATATTCATGATCTCCATGTTAGATATTACATGCCCTTAAAAATTAGATCCGAAAATCCATCTCAAAAATAGATTTTTAAGGGTGGACTTATTTCTACATGGACTTATAGAAACTGTGTCATTTTGTAATTGAGCTATGTGAGCAAATCAGATTTGCTCATATAGGAACGAATAATATATTTACAATTAAGGAAATAAAAGATAATAGTTTGTTTTTTTTATGGTCAACATTTAATATCATGGATGTATCTCAAGTACTATCATGATATATTGTTCATTGTATTTTTATTGTTATTAAAGATGTGCAGATATAAAAAAAAATTAATATCAAGTCTGGTATATCTTGAAACGCATTATCTAGACTATCTATTTTCAAAATTTTCAAGTGTTTATAGATCTACTCAATCTGCATTTTTAGAACTTTAAGTTTATTATAAGAGACGAAATTAACTTTTGAGGCCATCACAGTGTTCATCGGCACCAAACTACATCTTTTAGCATAACAGGGAGACATGTATTACTTAGATTGTTTAAGGTTGATACTTTATATAAACCGCACCCTAAATGCCTATGGGTAATTGAGAATTTGATACACGAGTGAAATGCATCATGCATTTTTTTTTCTTTCGTTTGTTGTTTTTCTTTTTTTTCGACATGTGAAATGCCTATACATGCATTTGGAATAGACATGCGGAGAATGGTTCGAGTTCAGATGCACCAGTTTTATTCTTGCGTGTCCCGGTACGTGTGCTTTTACTAGAGTCATTAAACTGATGGTATTGAAAATATATCTTATCGCATTATTGAGCCATTTCGGTGAAGTATAGATTCATTGAACCTGGACAAACCCTGATCCATTGAACCTAGACATCCTTTAGTTCGTGCATCGAGGAGCCCGTTCCTATATATATACCCATGTCACAGTAAGAAAGCAAGAGAGAGAGAGAGAATTAGGAGAAATCAAGCGTAGAGAGAGAAATAAACAAGCTTGCTCAAGAAAGACTTTGTTTGTTTTTGAGCGTGTGTTATACCCGTTTCGTGCGGAGGAGGAAACCACACGCGCAAAACGCGAGGAGGAGTACGTCCGCGTGCGCGTAGAGAGTGCAGCGCACGAGCGAATAAATGTGAAGGAGAGGGAGGGATATGCCTTCCATACAGGGCAGAAGCCTTACTTCCCACTAAGATCCCAGGCATATCCTCTTTCATCCAAGTAAATCGGTCAGTCTCACTTTTTATGTTACCGCGAATATTCTTCCTCATATCCTCTGTTTAGAGGTTTAGAACTTTAAAAGATATTTTTTGTTTATCATTTTTAAAGGAAAAGTCATTAAGCCCCTTGTTGTGAGAGAGGAGAGGAGAGGAGAGGAGAGGAGAGAGGTGAGCTCATTGTGTCGTATAAATGTACACATCATCCAAAAGCAAGGCTCTACAAAAGCAATCACCCAGCGGGGGATTTCCGGTGGATATGGCTGCCGTGAGCGTGAGGAGCAAGCAGGTGACGGACCCACTCGACGATCGGGCCAAGGCCAGGCTTTACGGCTATGGCTGGTACAGCGGCAGCAGCAGCAGCAGCAGTGGCAGCGAGCACGAACCTGATTCTGAGTCCCTCGGCCGCCTCATCTACAGTTTCATGGAAGACGATGAACCTCCTTCGCCTGTTAATGGGCCTTACGATTCCACCACTATGGTGGAGGATGGGGATTGCGACGATGCCCAAATTGTTGAGATGCTTAAGGGGCTTGTCCAGCCTCCTGATCGCGTGGTTGCCTCCCTTGTTGAAAGGGCCTTGCAAAGTTGTTCCTCTCACGAGGAGAGGTCGGTTCACCGGAGAAGAGTGATGACTGACCTGAGGCAGCATGGTTACAATGCAGGGCTCTGCAAGTCCAAATGGGAGAAATCGGGCGGCCTCAATGCTGGGACCTACGAATACATCGATGTGATCAAGGCAGATCAGAGGTACCTCATCGACCTCGACTTTGTGAGCGAATTCGCCATCGCAAGACCCACCCCATACTACACCGTTGTCCTGGGGGCCCTGCCTTGGGTTTTTGTGGGGAAAGTGGAGCAGCTGAAGCTGGTTGTCAGGTTAGTGAGCGACGCCGCCAAGAAGTCGATGAAAGCCGGAGATCTCCACCTACCCCCTTGGAGGAAGAATCGATATATGCAGGCTAAGTGGTTTGGTCCCTACAAAAGGACTGTGAACCCTGTAGCCGGAGGCGCCACCGACGTCAGATCGCCGCCAGAGTCAGCGCAGATGGCACGATCTGTGGGGTTCGCGGCCCCAGTGGCCTCGAAATGCAGGGAGCGGCCGCCGTTTGGTGGTGGCGGGATCAGACACCAAATAAAAATCAATTTAATTTAACTGGTTGTTTAAAGCCGGGAAGGAACCCCCACCGTACGCGGCGGGCCGTGGCCGATCGGGCGACGAAAAGTCGGCGGAGGAAGAGACACACTTCAAGGGGCCTGTTATTTTTCCTTTTTTTTTTTTCTTTTTTTTCTCGGTAGTTTTTTATTATTCTATGGTGTCGACATCGAAGACTCTGGAAGACGCGATTTGATTATCGCGACGCGTGTCTCATTGATTTGACAGGCTTGCCTGCTGATGGATGGTGGATGGCCTCCTTATCCGTTTCGAAGAGGAGACGGGAACTCTACTCTGGCTTGCGACCTGGCGTTTGGACCTGTACCGAGCACACGTGGCATTTTATTGCTTATATTTGGCAATCCCTCTTTGTGTATAGTGTCTCCAATGGTTCATTTTATTGCTTAGATTTGGCAATCCTCTCTTTGTATTGTCTCTCCAATGGGCAGGTGTGGGACCGATGAAATAGAGATTAGTGCAAGTCTTTTTTTTGGGGTGGAGCATAGGTTGGGCCCATTGAAATTATAATGTAAAAACTTTTTCTTCCTTGGCACCATGTAAATTCCCCTCACATGAATTTCTTTTCATTGGTTACGGGCATTGCAAAATGGAAAAACACATGTCACCTGTTTTCTTAAAAAAGGAGTAAGACATGTGTTGAATTAGAAATGCAAAAATAGAGTACGACGTGTTGAATTAGAAATGCAGGGATTAGATATGCATGAAACAACTAAAAGTGATTGTGATATGCTTATATTGAAAGTAAATAATTTTTATAATAAACAATTATTTGCAAAATCACACATGTTGAATGTAGCAACTATTACCTCTCCTGTCTTTTACCTCTTTGTTATCTTCCCTCTAAAGAAAAGGTGTGTCAACTAACTTTTCATGAAATTTATCAAACTGCACATATGATTGGAACTATTTAATACCTTGCCCATGCTTTGTTATCTAATTTTGAATTGTTCATCATCCTTTTGAAAAACTTTTAAATAGCCCGTCAAATAACACATCAAAATTAATCTCTAAATTTATTAGGGTAAAATGTGAAATAGTTCAAATGTTAGGTATCATCATTATCGTTGTCAAAGCTTTTTTCCAACTAATTGGGATTTGCAACACGAATCCTGGTATGTCATCTGACACTATTAACTACTTAAGTCTATTTTTTCTCATCTTATTGATGTAGTTGAAAATTATTAACAACCAACAACCAGCGAAATAACCTTGTTAATCAGAGAAGAAAAACAAATAAATGTCAACAAAAATAAACGAAAAACTTCTTGTTATGTATGTGGAAAACCGAGATACTATTCGAGAGATTGGTGGCACTAGAAAGGGCTCAAAACACCTAAAGACCAAGCGAGCATGACCACTAATAAAAGTTTTGTAGCAATGATTACAAAAGTAAACACTGATTGATAAAGATAATGGATGAGGAGTCAATACTGGGTTATCATTTATGTATTTAACAATAGAGACGTGTTTAAAACCTTTGAACCAGTGGGTGATGGAAATTCAGGTCAACTTGGAACTCAAGCTATGGCAAAATGCTTCGAAAGGGATATGGTGGAATTAAAATTTAGTTTAGACAAGGTTCTAATCTCGTAAGACATACCGAATATAGATGTATCGTGAATAAGAAGGGCTTTAAAATGGCCATTGGGTCTGACATACTCTTTTTTACCAAATATGATGTATTTATGGGAAAGGGCTACCCTTGTGATGAGATGTTCGAATTTGATTTAGTTAATAGAATAAATAGCTCTTCTACGCATATTGTGACTTCTTGTAATGTGTGGCATAATAGATTAGGATACTTTAACTATGTTTCTATTCAATATTCAATTAAGTTAGGATTGATATCTAATTGTGATGAATTGTCTAATGATAAATTTGAAGTATGTTTACAAGCTAAAATAACTAGAAAATCATTTCCTTCAATAGATAGAAATGGTGAATTATTAGGACGTATACATAGTGATGTATGTGAGTTAAATAATGTTCTAACTAGAAGTGGTAAAAGATATTTCATTACATTTATTGATGATTTTTTTATATATGTTTATGTTTAACATAAAATTGAGGCTTTCCAAAAATTTAAAGTTTTTAAAGTTGAAGTGGAAAATCAACTTAGTAAGAAAATTAAGATTATAAGAATTAATAGGGGTGTATAGTATTTATTAAGTGATTTTAATAAATTATATGAAAATAATGGAATTATTCATTAATTGATTGCTCATTATATCACTCAACAAATGGACTAACCTAAAAGGAAAAATAGAACTTTGATAGAAATGGTGACAGCTATGATGGTTTTTTCATCTTTGCCATTAAAATTATGGGGTGACACTTTATTGTCAACATGTTTTAGTTTGAATAGAATTCCATATAAAAAGAGTAATAAGACCCCTTATGAACATTAATTTAATGGAAAACCTTCTTTGAATTTTCTTAATGTATAGGGTTGTCTGGCATATTTTAGACTTCAAGATCCAAAAAATAATAGTTTAGATCCTAGAATCTCTAAATGTGTATTTGTAGGATATTCACAAAATAGTAAAGCATATAGATTTTTTTATCTAAATTCTAACACAATAATGGAATCCAGAGAGTTGAATTTTTTGAAAATCTAACTTGTAAAAGTGAATTAGATAAAACAAATAACATAACAAATGAAAATAATTATGAAAATGATCATTACATTGATAAAGAACATGTAGAAAATAATCATGATGAGAAAATAGAACAAAAAAGAAGTAAAAGAATTAGATGTGATACATCTTACAACTTTGGATCTAATTTTTATATTTATCTAATTAAGGCTAATCAAAATAAAATTTTAAATTGTGGAGGAAGATCCAACATCACTAAGTGAAGCCTTGACATCTCAAGATGCAATTTTTCAGAGAGAATCTATAAATAGTGAAATGGATTCCATAATGACAAATAAAACTTGGAAATTAGTATATCTTCCATCTAGTTCTAAATACATAGGTTCTAAATGGATATGTAAACGAAAAAAGAATTCTGATAATTTTATAAATAAATGTAAAGCAGGAATAGTTGCTAAAGGATTTAAACAAAAATAAGGCATTGTTTTTTTTTTTTACACATATGCACCTGTAGCAAGAATTGTTACTATTAGATAGCCTCTCTCAACCATCTGGTCCTACATTAAATAGATGTAAAAACCGCTTTCTTAAATTGTGATCTAGATGAAGAAATATATATAGAATAACCCGAAGGGTTTGTGATGCCAGGTCATGAGAATGAAGTTTGTAAATTAGTCAAATCTCTTTATAGACTTAAACAAGTACCTAAATAATGGTATAAAAAATTTGACAGTGTATTGATGTCAAATGGTTTTAAAAGAAATGAGGCTTATAAATGTGTATATAATAAGAAAATAAATTCTCTGTGTCATAATTTGTCTATATGTAGATGATATGCTTATCATTGGCACTAATCTAGAAATTGTGGAAGAAACTAAAAGATTTCTCACATCTAACTTTTATATGGAGGACTTATGAGAGGCTGATGTGATACTTGTCATCAAAATAGTGAGAAAAGACAATAAATTAATCTTGACTTGATCTTACTACATTGAGAAAATTCTTAATAAGTTTGAGCATTCTCATAGCAAGTCAGTCACTACCCCGACACATCCTTATATTAAGTTAAACAAAAATGATGGGAGAGGTATATCTCAAATTGAATATGCTAGGGTAATTGGTATTTTAATGTATATAATGACCAACACAAGGCCCCGGCATTGCATATGCAGTGGGCAAACTTAGTAGATATATAAGTTGCCTTGGTAGAGAGCATTGGGATACCATATCTCGAGTATTAAAATACTTGAAAGGAACTATCAATTATGGCATAAAATATATGGTTTATCCCGAAATGTTGATAGGATATAGTGATGCTTTAGAATAAAGAAATCAAAGATTCACTACTAACAACCAGATAGATTTTTATACAAGCGAGTGGTGTGATAACATGGGGGTCAAATAAACAAATGTGTATTTCGCACACTATTATGGAGTCAGAAATTATTTCTTTAGACTCTACTAGTAAAGAGGCAGAATGGCTAAAGAATTTATTATATGACATTCTCATATAGCCAAAACTAATACCTGCAATAATAATATATTGTGATAATCAAGCTATTATTGTAAGAGGTTGTAATGATGTATATAATGATAAATCTACACATATTACGGGAAGGCATAACTCCAGTAAAAAGTTGAATGGAGATGGAGTGATTAGTGTAGAATATGTAAGATCAAAGGAAAATTTGGCTGTGGTTGGTTGCCTCGATCTCGCCAGTTGGGTCGAGAAGACCCAGTTGACAGGGACCCAGGTTCATGAGAACCCCGGGGACTGAAGACCGCTATCTCTGGAACCTCGACGCACATAGGGTGAGTATGCACGCAGAGGCAGAACTTACTTCACATGGGTCCATGACACGCTCGAGCTAGCTCACATGGGCGCTCTCTTAGATCACGAAGAAAGCCCCTCAAGTCTGAGATTGGTTCGGACTCGCCTCTTTAACCTCCTTGATTCCTTCCTGCAAACACACACACACACATAAAATGTTCAGACAAGTGGGTCAAGAGACCCCGACTTGTCCTTGAGTGACCATACACATACATGTATACTCGAAGGAGAATAAAATGGGGGAGATAGTATCGTAGAGCCCGTGCCAATTTGACAACCTTATGACGTCTCCTTAATGAAGGACTCACAACATTTTTAGTATTGAGTGAACTGAGAGGAGAGAGAAATCAAAGGGATGAAGAAGAGAAGAAGAAGAGAGAAAAGGGAGGAGGAAAGGTAGAGAGAATATGAGAGAGGAGATATAGAGAGATAGTGAGAGGGAAGAGAAGAGAGAGAAAGAGAGGGAAAATAGATAGAGGAAGAAGAGAGAATACAGAAAGAGAGAGAAGGTAAAAAGAGGGAGAGGGTAGAGAAAGAGAAGGAGAGAGAAAAGGTAGACAAAGGTAATGAGAGAGAAAGGAAGAGAAAGATAGAGAAAGGACAGAGAACATAGAGACAAGATAGAGAGAGATAGTGAGAGAGGAAGGAGGAGAAGAGACAGTAAATTAGGAAGGAAAAGAGAAAATTGAGAGAGAGAGAAGGAGAAAGCAGATAGAGAGAAGTGAGAGAGAGGAAGGAGGGTGGAGAGATAAAGAGGGAGAGATAGGAAGGAAGGTAAAGAGAAAGGGATGGAGAGAGAGGAAGGGAGGTAGAGAGAGAAAGAGAAGGCAGAGAGATAATGTAAGAGAAAGGGAAGAGGGAAAAGGAAGGAAAATTAAGGATGGGGAAAAGAGGGTGAGACGGCGGCTGAAGCCGTCACTCGGGCAAGAGAGGCAGAAGAGAGAGAAGGTGATAGAGAGAGAAGAGAAGAGAAGAGAAGAGAAGATAAAAAGAGAGGGGTATAGAAGACGAGGTGGTGGCTGAGGCCTGCCACTCAGGGAAAGGCTCAAGCCACCACTCGAGGGAGAAAGAGAGAAGATAGAAGGGAAAGAGAGATAAGAGGAGG